ATCCATTTTCACCGAGATGGACGACTGATGTTTGAAACTCAAAATCCATCTTATTTTTACCGAACGAGACTGTTTGTGGATGAACTGCAGAATGGAAACGTCTCCATGAAAATCTTCAGAGTGAAAATCTCTGATGCAGGAAAATACTTTTGCATCCTTGAACCAATGTTGAAGAAAGCTTCCATCCAACTCACTGTTGGTAAGTCAGACTTTCTGAAGATGATGAATTACACATTTCTGCTGACTGCAAAGATCAGTAATGTAATTTTATATTAGAAGCAAGCAGCCATGATAAGACACAAAGAAAACAGTGCTGGAAGTTATTTGTTGGATCTGAATCCACTGTTTGAAATTCCTCCTCTCTTCTCATCAGGTGTCGTCTCCACTCCCATCATAGAGGTTGTCTCCAATAACAGTAGAAGAGTAGTTTTACAGTGTGAGTCTAAAGGCTGGTATCCAGAGCCTGAGGTGGTCTGGCTGGACGGTGAGGGAAACCTCCTCTCTGCTGGACCTACAGAGACAGTCAGAGGTCCTGATGACCTCTATACTGTCAGCAGCAGAGTGACTGTGGAGAAGAGACACAGCAACAACTTCACCTGTAGAGTCCAACAGAAGGACATCAACCAGACCAGAGAGACACACATCTATGTTCCAGGTTATAAAGAGCTCTAAATATATTAAACATATTGTCACTGTTGAGCTCTAGTTTGATTCAATAATGTCATTCTGTTCTCTCTTCTATCTTTTCTTCTGATTCATTCACAGTTCAGTCATCTTCTGATCGGATTCGGATCATCATCATTATTCCTGTTTGTATTATTGTGCTGTTCATTATCACTCTGATAATATGTAAGTCACATATTTATTTTCCTTTTTTATTCCAAGTTCCTGTCAGAGCTCTTTATTGACATACATACAGGCATAACAACAGTAACTAAGCAAACAGTCTGAAATGATCTTCACTGCAGGAAATTTGGGGAAAATGGAGGAAATAAAAGAAAATGTGTTGCTTTCAAAAGCTTTCTCTCATTTGGAAATGTTCTGTTTATGAAAGTCACTGTGATGTTAAAAATATTCCAGTTCAATTATCATATTTTTGTTCTGCTTGTGTCGTTTTCTCACTTTAACACTCATTCATTGATTAGACGAAAACACATGAACACAACAACTTCAACACTTTCCGGTTTCTGTTGGCTCACAGGCACAAAGAGGATCTTGAGGACTCTGGAAGGAGATGTAACACATGGTGTGAAAGAGGCAATGTTAATGGTCGAAGTAAAGCCAAAGGTCCAGAAGCATAATGTAAATATGAATGCAGCTCAACTCCAGCTCTTAGTAAAGGGAAATCAGCAACAGGAGGACCAGAGAGAGCAACTGGACAGAGTTCAGAGATCACAGACAGAGGAACCATCAGGAGCAGGAAATAACACTGAAGACACTTTAAAACACAGAGAGACGCAGTGTTGAACGATGTGGACTAAAAACCTCCTGTAGTGACCGAGAACGAGGAGGAAATCATTGTGACACTGGAGGATATTCTCCATCTTTTCCTGCTCTACCATCACGCTGACAGAGAATGATGATGTTGTTTGTCTTCCTAGTTTACAATCTATCCATTGTGACTTTGTTTTCAGTCTATGTGAGCAGGTGTTGTCTTTGAGCCAGTGAAAAGGCTGCAGACACTCAGTGAAGAAGGGAGATCTTAATGATGTTGGTGTCCAGTCTAAGATATGAGCTGTGACTGAAGATTCCTGCTTTCATTTCATGGATTGTATCAAAGTTCCCACTTTAGCACTTTAAAAGAATCTGAACTGTTTTGTAAAATGTCAACAGGTTGTGTACAAAACGCTGTGACTGTGTTTAATATTCATTATTATCATCATCATCCATTCTCATCTGTTTAAACACAGAACTGTTCACTTTATATTAATTTAACCTTTTATTGTTTTTATTGTTTTACTCAAGCTGTATGAGTTTATTTTAGTAGATTATTTGTATTTGTGCTGGTTGAGATTTGTCCTGTAAGGAGCTGTGGATGTGACAGGATGCTGCTTTAGTTTCTGGTTTTAGTGACAATGAAAAAACTGATCTTGGCATTAACCTCTGTTCACATTTTAGCATTTATTTCTGCACTTTTCTGTATTTATGATTCATTAACTGCTGTCTGTAAGTCAAATTAAAGCTTTACTGTACTCAACACTATTAAAACTATCAATAGATCATACTCTCATTTATTATGTCATTGTGGTCATTTTTAACACTGTCAGTAATTCAGACACTATCTGACTTTACATCTGGAACCTTTAAAGTAATTTAACAATGTAATAAAACACAGGGTGACTCCTTATTGAACAGAAACCTTTACACCCACTTTAAGCTCTCTCATATTAGAAAGAAAGGTTAGTGCGCCCCCTGCTGATAAATAAAGGTTCAATATTAGTGTCACTGCATCTTCCTCTTCATGCTCCTATAATGTGTGCTGCTCTCACGTCTCCAGGTTCAGACACTATGAGGACTTTGTATTAGAAGTAAGCAGCCATGATACAACAGAGAGAAGACAAAGTAAAACAATTCATGAACACTTAACAATGTAAAGTCAGATTAAAATCAACACTGACTGGAAAAAAACCTGAAAGGTGTCCTGTGGAGTTTTATTCTACACAGACAACAGTTCAATCGTCTTCCTGCCTTTGCAGGTCCATTGCTGCGTTTGCTGCCACCTGTAGATCACAAGGTAACACAAACAGAGAGCCACTGATGAAGACATTGTTTCACAGCACTTACAGAGGTCAGAAACACCACAGGCTGTCTTTAAAGCAACTCTAAGGTTGGTATTTGTTGGGATTCAGCCCTCGGTTACCACTGTGGTAAATATGGACAGCTGAACATGTGCTGATATCTTGTCGTCTGTTTTGGTTCGGCATCATTCAGCACAACTGTTGTTCCCATGTGTATGTGTTTGTCAGTGAACTGGTGACTCTTACTGGTTGTTCTGGGTGCTGTTACAGAGGAGGCTGGGATCAGTGTAACAAATACTGCAGTGCAGGAACACTGACCATCACTAATATGAGGACTGAGAAGAAAAGAAGGAGGCTCAAGAGCTTCAATTCTCACGTTGGAATGAAATCTTTTGATATTATCACAGCTGTAATGAAAGTAAATGTCTTTTCTCCTTTCATTTTCAACTCAACCATCATATTTCTGTTCTGCTTCTTTAGTTTCATCATTTTCACAAGTTTTTTGTTTCTGTAAGGAAAAAACTGTATGAACACATTAATAGATTTCTTCTTCTGTTTGCACACAGTCTGCATGAAGAAAGACAAAAGAAACACTGAGACAGAGAGTCTAGAGTTATCTGGATTGTCTGTACAAACTGAAGAACTGGAGAACCAGAGAGCAACTGGGGAAGACAGAGAGAGTGCAGACCAACAGAGAAAACTTCAGGAGGAAGAAATAAAGGACTGTACACATCTGGAATGAACAGGAGAAAGAGAGAGACAGAACAAACAAATAAGATACAAAAGACAGAAAACCAAGAAAAACAAAAGTGACATCAGTAGAAAGACAGAAAGGAGTCAGGAGTCGGTGTGAAAATGGAGGAGACAGAGGAGTTGGAGAGGATACTTCAGAGAATGAAGAAGATGGACACAGAGAGGACGCCCTTATAATACAGCAAGAGACACAATTCATACAGAAAGGCAGCTTTAAAGAGTTCTTCATACAGTAAAACAAACTGATTGATGTTACTGGATCAAAATATGTGCACAGATCAGGAGTCAGCAACCTTTATTATCAAAGAGTTATTTTTGGTTTCATTATTGTGTGTAAATATGTAAATATATAATTCAATAAAACTTTTTCGTGTATATTTGGGAATCATTCTTTTCACTGGTTTCTGATTCTGATTATTCTGTATTTAGTGAAGAGGAACTGATCACTCATGATTCCTCTTTGTAAGACTTCCATAAGACTGCTGGTGCTGTCCTCTCACAGGAGGGCCACTTCGACATTCAAGTTTCCATAACTAACATCTTATCAAATAAATGCTGCTGCCCTGCTTATGAACCCTTCACACACATATTCAGGCACCTTTGACCTTTCTCATAATTTTGTGCCAAAGAAAATAGATTTGTAAAAACAGAAATAGTATTTTTATTTTAATTCTATATGAAGGGGTGTCATAGACTGATATTCAACTCAAAATACCTTAGTTGTCCCTCAAGGGGCAATTCAAGGCCAGCGAGTGTGCAAACAGAAGTACACATAGACAGTTTAATCAAATCTTGCGAGTTAGATTATATAGATTATATTAGATTGTATAATTTTGTGTTTGGTGTTACTTCGAACTTGTGACGTGTGGTAGCAGGAGAGAAAAATGTTTCCTCTTTTCTTGTTTTGTGGCAGAGCCTTGGTTTCATTTGTGTTGTTTATTCATCACTCAGCACATTCTGGATGTTGTCTGACCGCACAGAGGACTCTTTAACATCGTCCCCTCCTCCATTCAGCTGAACCTGGTCTCACAGAACAAGTTCCACTAACTCAGACTCTCTTTCATTGACAATGCTGAATAATCTGTTTTATAAAGTTGTATCATGAATCCAGTTGAACTCAGTGTGGCTCTCTTTGTGGTACCTGTCTTCACATTGGTGATCCTGATAAGTGGTCTCATAAAGCTGGTTGTTAACTGGTTCAATGAACTCTGAGTTTATCAATGCAGCTACAAGAGTCATGAGAAAGAAGGCAATCTTTTTAAATATGTTTCTGTGCAGGAAGAAGTTGTAATGTCTGTAAACACAGTATGAACAGGACTAAACTTTATATGAAAACTACTCTAACAACCTGATTATTAGTCATTCAGTCAATGTTCAGTTACACCCTGTGGTTAAATAATACTGACTGAACTCAGCAACTCTGTGGAGAAATCAATAGAGGAACTCAAAGCCAGATTGAAACTGCCTGAAATTTCATAAAGTCATTGTACATCCTCATTTCCTGTCAGATTAAGAACAGAACAACATCACAGTGGAGAGTTTGCATCCATCACGCTGTAAGTCAGAGTTTCTTTTTAAAGTAAAACTTGAATGTTAAATGTTGGATTTGTCATCATTTCATTCTTTGACTGTTATCACAATGTGCAGATTATTTTATGGACAAACTCTTTGTTGTTTATTGTGATATCATTATAGTCTATATAAAGTGGACTCACACTGTTACGTAGACACTGAGTCTGTATTTTTATATTGTTATCATTTATTTTACAAACCTTTTATTGAAAGCTTTGAACTCTATTTTTAAAGGAAAAACGATGTTCAGAAAGATTAAGAAAAGAAAATGTATATCACACATAATATCTGGTATTAATTGTTTCCACTAGTAGGCTATATCTATGTGATGACAACAGCATGTGACTGCGGGTTTGTAGTTGACAGTCCATGAGGAAGTTAGATGAGCATGTGAGAACAACAGATCACAAAAACACCAAACCAAACAGAAACTAAAATAAACTCTAGAGTTTCTACCCTGTTCAACCTCATTTTCCACTAAATACATTTGTTTTTATTTATTTATTATTTTATTTTAAACAAGCAGACTAAAGGTTTGTGTCTTTCTTTATATTCAGGAGTCTACAATGCTGTATCCAAAGACAGAGCTCTGTGATGGACTGTCCTTCAGGACCGGCAGGGTTTTCATCATTCTTCTAACACAGTGTTTAACAGGTAATTTACACATAGAAACAGTCCAGTAACACATTGAGTGTGTGTGTGTGTGTGTGTGTGTGTGTGTGTGTGTGACAATATTTAGGATTTAGTTTTGATGCAGTTTTATTAAATGTTTTCTTACTTTTAGAAAGTAAAAATGAATCCATTCAGTCTGATGACATGTATTATAACTATACTACTGTTTCTTGTTTGTTATTTAGTTTGCGTTGCAGAGCAGTCAGAGTTGATTTGTTCACATCAACCAATCGTAGCCCTGGCTGGTGATGATGTCATTCTACCATGTTACCTTGATCCTCCAATCAGTGCCAGTTCTGAGACAGTGGTGTGGACCAGACCTCGTTTAGACCCAAAGTACATCCATGTTCACCAAGATGGACGACTGATGTTTGAAACTCAAAATCCATCTTATTATCTCCGAACGAGACTGTTTGTGGATGAACTGCAGAATGGAAACGTCTCCATGAAAATCTTCAGAGTGAAAATCTCTGATGCAGGAAAATACTTTTGCACCCTTCGATCAATGCAAAAGAAAGCTTCCATCCAACTCACTGTTGGTAAGTCAGACTTTCTGAAGATGATGAATTACACATTTCTGCTGACTGCAAAGATCAGTAATGTAACTTTATATTAGAAGTAAGCAGCCATGATAAGACACAAAGAAAACAGTGCTGTAAGTTATTTGTTGGATCTGAATCCACTGTTTAAAATTCCTCCTCTCTTCTCATCAGGTGTCGTCTCCACTCCCATCATAGAGGTTGTCTCCAATAACAGTAGAAGTGTAGTTTTACAGTGTGAGTCTAAAGGCTGGTATCCAGAGCCTGAGGTGGTCTGGCTGGACGGTGAGGGAAACCTCCTCTCTGCTGGACCTACAGAGACAGTCAGAGGTCCTGATGACCTCTATACTGTCAGCAGCAGAGTGACTGTGGAGAAGAGACACAGCAACAACTTCACCTGTAGAGTCCAACAGAAGGACATCAACCAGACCAGAGAGACACACATCTATGTTCCAGGTTATAAAGAGCTCTAAATATATTAAACACATTGTCACTGTTGAGCTCTAGTTTGATTCAATAATGTCATTCTGTTCTCTCTTCTACCTTTAATCTTGTTTATTCACAGTTCAGTCTCCTATTTATTTGATTTTTTGGATCATCTTCATTCCTCTTTGCATTATTGTGCTGCTCATTTTCAACATGCTGATAAAATGTAAGTCACATATTTATTTTCCTTTTTTATTCCAAGTTACTGTCAGAGCTCTTTATTGACATACATACAGGCATAACAACAGTAACTAAGCAAACAGTCTGAAATGATCTTCACTGCAGGAAATTTGAGGAAAATGGGGGAAATAAAAGAAAATGTGTTGCTTTCAAAAGTTTTCTCTCATTTGGAAATGTTCTGTTTATGAAAGTCACTGTGATGTCTCTCTGTCTTTCTGTCTCTGTCTCTCTCCCTCTGTAAACTCTTGCTCATGGTGGTACTGTTGGGTCTCTGTAAATAATGCTATAAGGAGTTCAGTCTAGACCTGCTCTATTTGAAAAGTGTCCTGAGATAACTTCTGTTATGAATTGGCACTATATACATTGAATTGAATTAAATGTTAAAAATATTCCAGTTCAATTTTCATATTTTTGTTCTGCTTGTGTTGTTTTCTCACTTTAACACTCATTCATTGATTAGACATAAACACACCAACACAACAACTTCAACACTTTCCTGTTTCTGTTGGTTCACAGACACAAAGAAGATCCAGATGACTTTAATTAAACTGGAAGGAGATGTAACACATGTTGTGAAACAGTCAATGTTAATGGTTGAAGTAAAGCCAAAGGTCCAGAAGCATAATGTAAATGTGAATGCAGTGCAGCTCCAGCTCTTAGTGGAGGGAAATCAGCAACAAGAGGACCAGAGAGAGCAACTGAACAGAGTTCAGAGGTCGCAGTCAGAGGAAACATCAGGAGCAGGAAATAACACTGAAGACACTTTAAAACACAGAGAGATGCAGCGTTGAACGACGTGGACTAAAAACCTCCTGTAGTGACCGAGAACGAGGAGGAAATCATTGTGACACCGGAGGATATTCTCCATCTTTTCCTGCTCTACCAGCAGCATAACTTCTGTATATGCAGATGATGCAGTTGCACAGGGGCCTGCAGCAGTTCAGTGAACTTAGCCCCTAATGTTAACTGTGAACTGTAAGCTTTATAACCTTTTATTGTTTGTTTTGTTTTTGTTTTCATATTATTCTAGTTGCCTGCTTTTATTTGACTCATTGTCATCATGAAACGTTAAATAAAGCTTCTTGTTGTCTGACTTGGCTTGGCTGACTGTTGGCTTAAAAGTTAAAGAGAAAATAATATTGAAATAGTTTTACCAAACAGTTCCCACTCAAGGTCCACTTACTGGTATTTTCTTGAGTTTTCAGCCACATCACACAGTCTTCATGGATGTATGAAGTGTGTTCAGATAATTTCAGCAACCTCAGACTGTAACAGAACAGTTTACCTGCAGCCTTCATTGTATTTTATGGAACAGGAAAGTTTGATCTTCCTCCTGGAGCAGAAGGTCTGTTTGAGCAGCAGATAGTAGCACACAACAATGAAAGATATTAGAAATAACAGACAACACGAGCTGCAGAAATCCAAGAGGACTTCAGATGATGGTTGTTGTGTTTATGGCAGCCTCTCTCTCCTTTAGTTTGACTGACAGCTGAAGATGAACGCAGCAACAGGAACAAACAGAGAAATACTCAGTACAGGTAGAGTACAACAACTAAATCATTTGTCCTGTAAGGAGCTGTGGATGTGACAGGATGCTCCTTTAGTTTCTGATCTTGATACTAGAAAGAAAGGTTAGTGCGCCCCCTGCTGATAAATAAAGGTTCAATATTAGTGTCACTGCATCTTCCTCTTCATGCTCCTATAATGTGTGCTGCTCTCACGTCTCCAGGTTCACAAACAGTGTAAAGCAGAACATCTGTGTGGAGACGCCTTGAGAAGGCAATCACAGGTATCTCACTCTCTGTGTGTTATCGTTCATCAAGTTATCAAATTATAATCCAGGTTATGTAAAACAGTACCTCCAATTATACATATAAAAAACCTGACATTATATCGTTGTAGGAAGGGGTGCAAGTCTTCAGCACATTACGTTGCTGTAGCATAAGGGCCCCAAATCTTCAAGTAGCTATTAATCAGTTTATAACATAGGAAGTTTTAGCCATTTCGTCAAGACACTCCATCACTGGTATATCCACTCTAGTTTTCCAATATCGCAGCACTACCCTACATCCAGTGATAAGTACCGTTCTGCACCATGAGATCTGCTGAGCATTTAGTCCACTTCCCTTTGGTATCACACCTTATAGACAGATCATCAGTTCCTGTACCAGCACAGACGCCATCAAGTGTAATCTGTTTATATGTACTGTAGGGCTCTCTTCATTTCACCTTTATTCATTGTAAAGACTTTAAAAAGTCAATTATTGGCTTAATATGTGCAAAATTAACCCAATAATCCAAAAAAAATAATTATTTTGCTGGGGATGATTTCATAAACTAGTAAAATGTGTCAATACCTGTCCTCATAAATATACCAATTTTTTTGTTATTAAAAACTGACGTACTCGCTCAACACTTAAAATGTTATAATAAACTCAGCCCCACAATTTAGGATCGGAGGGTTCGAGTACAGTAAATTATTTTGTAATGTGGTTTTAGTCATGATTTCACTTCCACAATTGTCCACTAGAGGTCACTATTTTACTATCAAATAAAATCCTTGGTGTCTTTTGTAGTACAAGTATGAATTTGCTTCTGTTAGACCATGAACCAGTTGGGACTTTGATGTTACAGATGTGTGTTTCAGCTGAAGACAAACAGATTGAAGGAGAGGCCTCCTATTGACTGGGACTGACCTAGTCTCTCAGTACTTCCTGATTTCCTGTCAGTGGCTCTCAGCACCAAGTTCCTACTGAAGATATCAGTCATTGAAAATGGGTCACAAACAGTTTTTTGGACAACAATGAATGTGTGTAAATGTAAAAAAAAAACATTTTGAAAATGGCAAAATTCCTTTTAAACAAATATATCCATTACTTATACCATCAATTTATAGCTTAACCTGATCAATAAGTTTCAATATTTATCTCTGCACACATCATCAAAGTAATATGTATTTAAGTAGAAATTCAACATTGTGGATCAATGTTCCTGTAATTCCTACAGTCTCTGTTCCAGCAGGAAAGAGTGAAATTATGTTAACTAAAATCTAAAAGTTTATTGAAAGTAGAATTCTGGCTGGTGAAACAGTCCCATGTTGATTTTTTATCATAATAAAACTCCTGAATGTTAATTAAAAGTCTTTCTCAGCTGGATGTGAAAAAAACATAAACCAAACTGTCGTTTTTGGTTCATCCATGAATTTATCAGTGGTCGTATTCTAGTGTCAGTACAAAGGGTTTTTTTTTTGTGTGTGTGTGTGTGTGTGTGTGTGTGTGTGTGTGTGTGTGTGTGTGTGTGTGTGTGTGTGTGTGTGTGTGTGTCAGTAATGGAAACACACATGAGACCGTCCAGTGTCTGGACAAGTTAGCCGACATCGCCCGTAGCAACGGACTACAACACAACCGTGCCAACCCTACCTGTATCTGGGAGATATCTACTATATGAGGGTATGGCTCATGGATGGCTGCTAAAAGTCCTGGAGATTGTTCCATTTTTCCAGTGAATGCAATAAGTGTCCTTAATGCTGACATCCTTTACTGAGTGTTTTTGTTTAAAGCACCTAATTGTGCAAAATTAACAATATTATTATACAATCTCTCTCTCTCTCTCTGTCTGTCTGTCTCTCTCTCTCTCTCTCAGAAGACACAGGTACAATGTGAACTGTCTGTCTGTCTGTACTGGGACTGTCTCACGGTGTGACATTGTAAATAAGAGACATGTAAAGCTGTATTTCTTTCATTTTAAGAGGGACTTTTACTTCAACCCATACACAGTCAGTATCTTGTTTTATCTGATTTGTTAGTGGAATGTAGTCAAACTACCGTTGGTTTAATAATCTGTTGAGGTCAAATTGGTTTTAACATGATGGAAAAGCTGAATTAACACAAGTTGCTTTGTTGTTCATTAGGTTTGAGAAACGCTGGTCGATCTACATTAAATAAAGACACAGAAGACTGACATGTAACACAAGCAAACAGCTACTGAAGTTATCAGCTACTTTTACCTGATACAGTTGAGATAATACTGCCTGTATTGAATGTACTACTGTAATATTGTGATAATGCAGCTATGAAGGATTCCATTGAGAGAAAACATAAAAGACTTTATTGCTCTTTTCATTCATTATTGCAATATAATAACGTTTTTAAAGGAATATTTTATTGATTTGTCTTGTTACCGGTATAAACTAAACACATTAGTTTGAGTGGGTGTGAATGTAAAACTAGAATTCATGTAATGTATTTCTCCACTGCTTCTCCAAATCCAGGATGTTGGTTTCTTTTGTCTGCCTGCATGTTATAACACATTTAGTGCTTCATCTTATCATCCTCCCCTTGTTTATGCATCAGTGAAGTTCTTCTTTATTTCCTGTCAGGATGGGAACAGCACAACATGAGTGACTGAGTTTTCATTCTTCAACCTGCAGGTAAGAGTTGCTTTTTAATGTTAAATGTTCATAATTCCACATTCTTTGACTCTTATAACATATAACATACAATATAATGTGCAGGTTATTCTGTTGACTTAAACAATATATAAATATATAAATTTATATAAATTGGACTCTCGACATTACAAGTGTAACACTGCCTGTCTGTGCTTTATAGTTCAGGCGTGGAGGAAGAGGTACTCTTACATACTTACAGTCAGTAAATGAAGCACTACCACAGAATACATAGTCCTTAATCAGTATTTTACTCATTTAATCAATAATCTACTTTCAGGATGAAGTACTATTAACAGTTAAAGGATAAATGTTACACTTCTTATCAATAATTAACAGTTAATTTCTTGTGAATTTATTGAGGAGTTAACATGTGAGGGCAGTTTAATGCTTTAAAGGATGCATATGTTACATTACTCTTTGTCTCACTGAGACATGATTTTTGTTGTGCAGCCTCATTTGTGCAGAAATGGCCGAGATAAAGTTGACTGCTGCTGAATTTCTCTATTTCAGGACTCTCACCCTCCAATAACACACTAAGGTGTTAAAATGTCAATAACATTTTAAAGACATACAAACAGACTGTAGGAGGAGAAGAACAGAAACAGCTCATACAACATAAGATTCCCTTCAAGGAAAATTCAGGCACTATTTGATGGATTTTCCACAAGTACGTGCATGTTTCAGATGAAGGTGAAAGAAAAACAAGTTCATACTGATGGTTCACTGAGACAGAAAGATGAAGAATAGATAAAGTGAAATACAGCAGAGTTTCCAACAAGGGAAGACATTTGTTTCATTTGTGTTTTTTGAACAACCAGGCTAAAGGTTTTGACTTCATTTGCAGGATTCTACAATGCTGTCCAGTGATGGATGACAGATTCAGGACCTGCAGTGTTTTAATGTGTCTGATACTGACTTTTGAAGGTATTTCCACACAAAACACTCCAGGAAAACTTTGATGTGTGTGTTTTGGATGTTTCACACATGCCTGTATTTCATACTGACAGAGAGAGAGAGAGAGAGAGAGAGAGAGAGAGAGAGAGAGAGAGAGAGAGAGAGAGAGAGAGAGAGAGAGAGAGAGAGAGAGAGAGAGAGAGAGAGAGAGAGAGAGAGAGAGAGAGAGAGATGTTGAACCCATGACCACTGCAGCAAGGACTCAGCTTTGGTTAATGGGGTGCCAGATCCACCAGGTGAGCTACCAGGATGCCCCACTGTTACACATTGATTTACAAATCTTTTATAGAAACCTAAAACTCTTACAGTCAGTAAATGAATCACTACCACAAAATACATAGTAGTGTCTAAAGGGTTATAAATTCAAATTATATTTTGTCAACATATGCGGTGTCAGTAGTTCATGAGGTCATTATTTTACTCATTTAATCATTAATCTACCTTTAGGATGAACTACTATCAACAGTTAAAGGATAAATGTTACAGTTGTTTTCAATAATTAACAGTTAATTTCCTGTCCACAAAATTCAATATTTTTAAAACAGACAGAATATCTTCAGAAGTACAAACATACAGTTTGAGAGAAAAAGCTTGAACATTAGATTCCCAACATTCAGACATTATTTGACTGGTTACAAAAAAACAGAGTTGAAGAGCCCTCCCACCTGATGAAAACACAGTCAGAGCATAGTGCTTCCATTACAACCCACCCTCCTTTAAAACCGTTTGCTTCATCTGTTGGTTTAAGAATGAATAGATCAGATAAAGAAATACATGTAACATACCAAGTCCCCTCAGAGAGTCAAAGAAAAACAGATCGCACAGGACTGAAACAGCAGCAAGAGACAGTGAAACCAGAGATAAACTCAAATTAACTCCAGAGTTTCTACCCTGTTCAACCTCATGTACCACTGAGTAAAGACAATTGTTTTATTTGTGATTTTTAGAACAACCAGACTAAAGGATGTTTTATTATTATTAATAATAAAACATTATTTATTTTCAGGAGTCTACAATGCTGTGCAGTGATGGACTTCAGGACCTGCAGTGTTTTAATGTGTCTAATAAAGTCTTTTGAAGGTATTTCCACACAAAACACTCCAATAACACATTGATGTGTTTGTGACCAAAAAATCACTGACATCGTAATCATTCACATCAAAACTAATTTATTCATTACTGTCAATGAAAGAAATTCACTATGCGATTATACAGTCATACATAAGCTTAATGGTAATGCTAACATGCTAACATGATGACAATTATAATTTTGATAATTATTTGTAGCAGGTAGAATTTGAGGCTCCAGCGGTCGATTGTCTTTGTTTTTGATGCAGTTTTATTAAATGTTTTCTTACTTTTAGAAAGTAAAAATGAATCCATTCAGTCTGATGACATGTATTATAACTATACTACTGTTTCTTGTTTGTTCTTTAGTTTGTGTTGCAGAGCAGTCAGAGTTGATTTGTTCACATCAACCAATCGTAGCCCTGGCTGGTGATGATGTCATTCTACCATGTTACCTTGATCCTCCAATTAGTGCCAGTTTTGAGACAGTGGAGTGGACCAGACCTGGTTTAGACCCAAAGTACATCCATGTTCACCGAGATGGACGACTGAAGTATGAAACACAAAATCCATCTTATGTTTACCGAACGAGACTGTTTGAGGATGAACTGCAGAATGGAAACGTCTCCATGAAAATCTTCAAAGTGAAAGTCTCTGATGCAGGAAAATACTTTTGCATCCTTCGATCAATGTTGAAGGAAGCTTCCATCCAACTCACTGTTGGTAAGTCAGACTTTCTGAAGATGATGAATTACACATTTCTGCTGACTGCAATGATCAGTAATGTAACTTTATATTAGAAGTAAGCAGCCATGATAAGACACAAAGAAAACAGTGCTGTAAGTTATTTGTTGGATCCGAATCCACTGTTTGATATTCCTCCTCTCTTCTCATCAGGTGGTGTCTCCACTCCCATCATAAAGGTTGTCTCCAGTAACAGTGGAAGTGTAGTTTTACAGTGTGAGTCTAAAGGCTGGTATCCAGAGCCTGAGGTGGTCTGGCTGGACGGTGAGGGAAACCTCCTCTCTGCTGGACCTACAGAGACAGTCAGAGGTCCTGATGACCTCTATACTGTCAGCAGCAGAGTGACTGTGGAGAAGAGACACAGCAACATCTTCACCTGTAGAGTCCAACAGAAGGACATCAACCAGACCAGAGAGACACACATCTATGTTCCAGGTTATAAAGAGCTCTAAATATATTAAACATATTGTCACTGTTGAGCTCTAGTTTGATTCAATAATGTCATTCTGTTCTCTCTTCTATCTTTTCATCTGATTTATTCACAGTTCTGTGGTCTCCTGATTGGATTTGGATCATCATCCATCTTTTTAACATTACTGCCCTTCTGTTCGTCATTGTCACTCTGATGAAATGTAAGTCACATATTTATTTTCCTTTTTATTCCAAGTTACTGTCAGAGCTCTTTATTGACATACATACAGGCATAACAACAGTAACTAAGCAAACAGTCTGAAATGATCTTCACTGCAGGAAATTTGGGGAAAATGGAGGAAATAAAAGAAAATGTGTTTCTTTCAAAAGCTTTCTCTCATTTGGAAATGTTCTGTTTATGAAAGTCACTGTGATGTTAAAAATATTCCAGTTCAATTATCATATTTTTGTTCTGCTTGTGTAGTTTTCTCACTTTAACACTCATTCATTGATTAGACAAAAACACATGAACACAACAACTTCAACACTTTCCTGTTTCTGTGGGTTCACAGGCAGAAAGAAGAACCAGAGGAATGAAACTGAACTGGAAGGAGATGTAACACATGGTGTGAAAGAGGAACTGTTAATGGTCGAAGTAAAGCCAAAGGTCCAGAAGCATAATGTAAATATGAATGCAGCTCAACTCCAGCTCTTAGTGGAGGGAAATCAGCAACAGGAGGACCAGAGAGAGCAACTGGACAGAGTTCAGAGATCACAGACAGAGGAAACATCAGGAGCAGGAAATAACACTGAAGACACTTTAAAACACAGAGAGACGCAGCGTTGAACGACGTGGACTAAAAACCTCCTGTAGTGACCGAGAACGAGGAGGAATTCATTGTGACACTGGAGGATATTCTCCATCTTTTCCCTGCTCTACCATCAGCATAACCTCTGTATATGCAGATGATGCAGTTGCACAGGGGTCTGCAGCAGTTCAGTGAGCTTAGCCCCTTATGTTAACTGTTAACTGTAAGCTTTATAACCTTTTATTGTTTGTTTTGTTTTTGTTTTCATATTATTCTAATTGCCTGCTTTTATTTGCCTCATTGTCATCATGAAACGTTAAATAAAGCTTCTTGTTGTCTGACTTGGCTAGGCTGACTGTTGGTTTAAAAGTTAAAGAGAAATAATATTGAAATAGTTCTACCAAACAGTTCCCACTCAAGGTCCACTTACTGGTATTTTCTTGAGTTTTCAGCCACATCACACAGTCTTCATGGATGTATGAAGTGTGTTCAGATAATTTCAGCAACCTCAGACTGTAACAGAACAGTTTACCTGCAGCCTTCATTGTATCTTATGGAACAGGAAAGTTTGATCTTCCTACTGGAGCAGAAGGTCTGTTTGAGCAGCAGATAGTAGCACACAACAATGAAAGATATTAGAAATAACAGACAACACAAGCTGCAGAAATCCAAGAGGACTTCAGATGATGGTTGTTGTGTTTATGGCAGCCTCTCTCTCCTTTAGTTTGACTGACAGCTGAAGATGAACGCAGCAACAGTAACAAACAGAGAAACACTCAGTACAGGTAGAGTACAACAACTAAATCATTTGTCCTGTAAGGAGCTGTGGATGTGACAGGATGCTCCTTTAGTTTCTGATCTTGATACGAGAAAGAAAGGTTAGTGCGCCTCCTGCTGATAAATAAAGGTTTAATATTAGTGTCACTGCATCTTCCTCTTCATGCTCCTATAATGTGTGCTGCTCTCACGTCTCCAGGTTCACAAACAGTCTAAAGCAGAACATCTGTGTGGAGACGCTTCGAGAAGGCAATCACAGGTATCTCACTCTCTGTCTGTTATCAGTCATCAAGTTATCAAATTATACCCCAGGTTAATTTAAACAGTACCTCAAATTATACATATACAAAACATGACATTATAAACAAATCTTTATGTATCTATCTATCAGTTTACAACATAGGAAGTTTTAGCCATTTCGTCCAGACACTCCGTCACTGGTATATCCCCTCCAGTTTTCCAATATCGCAGCACTACCCTACATCCAGTGATAAGTACCGTTCTGCACCATGAGATCTGCTGAGCATTTAGTCCACTTCCCTTTGGTATCACACCTTATAGACAGATCATCAGTTCCTGTACCAGTACAGACGCCATCAAGTGTAATCTGTTTATATGTACTGTAGGGCTCTCTTCATTTCACCTTTATTCATTGTAAAGACTTTAAAAAGTCAATTATTGGCTTAATATGTGCAAAATTAACCCAATAACCCAAAACATTTAATCTTGCTGGGGATTAAATGATAAAACGTGTTAATATTTGTACTCATAAATAAATAATAAATATACTAATTTTTATTCAATAGATACTGACGTACACACTCAACACTTAAAATGTTATAATTAACTCTATAATTAACAAAATTTAGGATCGGAGGGTTCGAGTACAGTAAATTATGTTGTAGTCTGGTTTTAGTCATGATTTCACTTCCACAATTGTCCACTAGAGGTCACTATTTTACTATTAGATAAAATCCTTGGTGTCTTTTGTAGTACAAGTATGAATTTGCTTCTGTTAGACCATGAACCAGTTGGGACTTTGATGTTTCTGATGTGTGTTTCAACTGAAGGCAAACAGATTGAAGGAGAGGCCCCCTATTGACTGGGACTGACCTAGTCTCTCAGTACTTCCTGATTTCCTGTCAGTGGCTCTCAGCACCAAGTTCCTATTGAAAATGGGTCACAAACAGTTTTTGGACAACAATGAATGTGTGTAAATGTAAAAAAAATACATTTTGAAAATGGCAAAATTCCTTTTAAACAAATATATCCATTAATTATACCATCAATTTATAGCTTAACCTGATCAATAAGTTTCAATATTTATCTCTGCACACATCATCAAAGTAATATGTATTTAAGTAGAAATTCAACATTGTGGATCAATGTTCCTGTAATTCCTACAGTCTCTGTTCCAGCAGGAAAGAGTGAAATTATGTTAACTAAAATCTAAAAGTTTATTGAAAGTAGAATTCTGGCTGGTGAAACAGTCCCATGTTGATTTTTTATCATAATAAAACTCCTGAATGTTAATTAAAAGTCTTTCTCAGCTGGATGTGAAAAAACATAAACCAAACTGTCGTTTTTGGTTCATCCATGAATTTATCAGTGGTCGTATTCTAGTGTCAGTACAAAGGTTTTTTTGTGTGTGTGTGTGTGTGTGTGTGTGTGTGTGTTTGTGTGTCAGTGAGGGAAACACACATGAGACCGTCCAGTGTCTGGACAAGTTAGCCGACATCGCCCGTAGCAACGTACTACAACACAACCGTGCCAACCCTACCTGTATCTGGGAGATATCTACTATATGAGGGTATGACTCATGGATGGCTGCTAAAAGTCCTGGAGATTGTTCCATTTTTCCAGTGAATGCAATAAGTGTCCTTAATGCTGACATCCTTTACTGAGTGTTTTTGTTTAAAGCACCTAATTGTGCAATATTAACAATATTCTTATACAACTCTCTCTCTTTCTCTCTCCCTCCCCCCCCCTCTCTCTCTCTCTGTCTGTCTCTCTCTCTCTCTCAGAAGATACAGGTACAATGTGAACTGTCTGTCTGTCTGTACTGGGACTGTCTCACTGTGTGACATTGTAAATAAGAGACATGTAAAGCTGTATTTCTTTCATTTTAAGAGGGACTTTTACTTCAACCCATACACAGTCAGTACCTTGTTTTATCTGATTTGTTAGTGGAATGTAGTCAAACTAACGTTGGTTTAATAATCTGTTGAGGTCAAATAGGTTTTAACATGATGGAAAAGATGAATTAACACAAGTTGCTTTGTTGTTCATTAGGTTTGAGAAACGCTGGTCGATCTACATTAAATAAAGACACAGAAGACTGACATGTAACACAAGCAAACAGCTACTGAAGTTATCAGCTACTTTTACCTGATACAGTTGAGATAATACTGCCTGTATTGAATGTACTACTGTAATATTGTGATAATGCAGCTATGAAGGATTCCATTGAGAGAAAACATAAAATACTTTATTGCTCTTTTCATTCATTATTGCAATATAATAAAGTTTTTAAAGGAATATTTTATTGATTTGTCTTGTTACCGGTATAAACTAAACACATTAGTTTGAGTGGATGTGAATGTAAACCTAGAATTCATGTAATGTATTTCTCCACTGCTTCTCCAAATCCAGGATGTTGGTTTCATTTGTCTGCCTGCATGTTATAACACATTTAGTGCTTCATCTTATGATCCTCCCCTTGTTTATGCATCAGTGAAGTTCTTCTTTATTTCCTGTCAGGATGGGAACAGCACAACATGAGTGACTGAGTTTTCATTCTTCAACCTGCAGGTAAGAGTTGCTTTTTAATGTTAAATGTTCGTAATTTCACATTCTTTGACTGTTATAACATATAACATACAATATAATGTGCAGGTTATTCTGTTGACTTAAACAAATTCTTTGTTGTTGTTGTTGTTGTTTATATAAATTGGACTCCCGACATTACCAGTGTAATACTGAGATACTAGTTCAGGCATGGAGGAAGAGCTACTCTTACATACTTACAGTCAGTAAATGAATCACTACCACAGAATACATAGTCCTTAATCAGTATTTTACTCATTTAATCAATAATCTACTTTCAGGATGAAGTACTATTAACAGTTAAAGGATAAATGTTACAGTTCTTATCAATAATTAACAGTTAATTTCTTGTGAATTTATTGAGGAGTTAACATGTGAGGGCAGTTTTTAAGACAAATGAAATGTCTTCAAATATACAAACAGACTTTACAGGAGGAGAAGAACAGAAAAAGCTCATACAACATAAGATTCCCTTCATGGACATTTCAAGCACTCTTTGACTGATTTTCCACAAGTACGTGCATGTTTAGATCTGGTTTCAGATGAAGGTGAAAGAAAAACGTTCATACTGATGGTTTACTGAGATAGAAAGATGAAGAACAGATAAAGTGAAAAACAGCAGAGTTTCCAACAAGGCTGAACAACCAGACTAAAGGTTTTGACTTTATTTGCAGTATTCTACAATGCTGTCCAGTGATGGACTGTCCTTCAGGACCTGCAGCGTTTTAATGTGTCTGATACTGACTTTTGAAGGTATTTCACAAAAACACACAAAACACTCCAGGAAAACTTTGATGTGTGTGTTTTGGATGTTTCACACGTGCCTGTATTTTTATACTGAGAGAGAGAGAGAGAGAGAGAGAGAGAGAGAGAGAGAGAGAGAGAGAGAGAGAGAGAGATGTTGAACCCATGACCACTGCAGCAAGGACTCAGTTTTGGTTAATGGGGTGCCAGATCCACCAGGTGAGCTACCAGGATGCCCCACTGTTACACATTGATTTACAAATATTTTATAGAAACCTTAAACTCTTACAGTCAGTAAATGAATCACTACCACAAAATACATAGTCCTTGTGGTGTCTAAAGGGTTATAAATTCAAATTATATTTTGTCAACATATGCGTTGTCAGTAGTTCATGAGGTCATTATTTTACTCATTTAATCATTAATCTACCTTTAGGATGAACTACTATCAACAGTTAAAGGATAAATGTTACAGTTGTTTTCAATAATTAACAGTTAATTTCCTGTCCACAAAACTCAAATACAGATATTTTTAAAACAGACAGAATATCTTCAGAGGTACAAACATACAGTTTGAGAGAAAAAGCTTGAACATTAGATTCCCAACATTCAGACATTATTTGACTGGTTACAAAAAAACAGAGTTGAAGAGCCCTCCCACCTGATGAAAACACAGTCAGAGCATAGTGCTTCCATTACAACCCACCCTCCTTTAAAACCGTTTGCTTCATCTGTTGGTTTAAGAATGAATAGATCAGATAAAGAAATACATGTAACATACCAAGTCCCCTCAGAGAGTCAAAGAAAAACAGATCGCACAGGACTGAAACAGCAGCAAGAGACAGTGAAACCAGAGATAAACTCAATTAACTCCAGAGTTTCTACCCTGTTCAACCTCATGTTCCACTGAGTAAAGACAATTGTTTTATTTGTGTTTTTTAGAACAACCAGACTAAAGGATGTTTTATTATTATTAATAACAAAACATTATTTATTTTCAGGAGTCTACAATGCTGTGCAGTGATGGACTTCAGGACCTGCAGTGTTTTAATGTGTCTAATAAAGTCTTTTGAAGGTATTTCCACACAAAACACTCCAATAACACATTGATGTGTTTGTGACCAAAAAATCACTGACATCGTAATCATTCACATGAAAACTAATTTATTCATTACTGTCAATGAAAGAAATTCACTATGCGATTATACAGTCATACATAAGCTTAATGGTAATGCTAACATGCTAACATGATGACAATTATAATTTTGATAATTATTTGTAGCAGGTAGAATTTGACCTTGTCAACCATCATAGTTTAGCATGTTAGCATGTTTTTTTTCCTCAGATACAGACTCTGAGGCTCCAGCGGTCGATTGTCTTTGTTTTTGATGCAGTTTTATTAAATGTGTTCTTACTTTTAGAAAGTAAAAATGAATCCATTCAGTCTGATGACATGTATTATAACTATACTACTGTTTCTTGTTTGTTCTTTAGTTTGCGTTGCAGAGCAGTCAGAGTTGATTTGTTCACATCAACCAATCGTAGCCCTGGCTGGTGATGATGTCATTCTACCATGTTACCTTGATCCTCCAATCAGTGCCAGTTCTGAGACAGTGGTGTGGACCAGACCTGGTTTAGACCCAAAGTACATCCATGTTCACCAAGATGGACGACCTGCAAATCTATTTC